TTCAGGGAAATGAAGGACGCATTTGAGGGCCGCATTTCGAGCAGCCTTCGAATTGGGACAGCCTTCGTCGCATCGCTGTGACGTAATCGGCCTTAAAATGCGGCCTTTAAGGCTGCAGACCCTGAATTGGGACACAGCCAGTCTGTGCGTTCTCATTCAGTCTTTGTCGGATCGTCTGTGTTGTTCCCATGTCCTGCGTTCAGGTTTTCATATATCCTCATCATTGCCATGTTTAGAGTTTGTGTTTCTGTTTGCCAGGCTTTTCATAGTTTGTGTTTCCTTTCTAGTTTACCCAGTTTAGGTTATTGCTTAGTTTGCATTGTTTTCTCTCTTTTATTTTGTGTTTTCTGTCTGCCTTAATAAACAGCTCATCATCAGTTAAGTTTGAGTTTTAGCATGTCTGCACCTGGGTCCACTCTTTGCCTCGGCAAACTGTGACACTGGTGTTAACTGAAAATCGCTTTACTTCATTTTTTTAAACTGTACCCAAACGCTTGCATTGTTTCCTATAATAATAAGTTTGAAGGAAACAGAACTACAGAATTTTCCAGGGTTTGCAAACAAGCTGGCATCTTCCAAGCAAGCTACAGATGATTTCAGCAACTTGCAGCAGCCAAATAAAATGCAAGGAGGTTTTTGGTTGCACTTTTAACCAGCAACTGCCAACAATGTCCAGACCTCTCACCCACTGGTTGAGGAATAGTTATTTTTCTGTAGGGACTGGGAGTCAGCAGGGGGTCACCAAAAAGTCTCTACGACTGTGTGACTGAGGTTGAATTGACATCCGGTGGTTCAAAACAAACTGTCAGCAACTAATAAATACTCAGAGAAATCAAAAGTGCCAGCTTTTTATGAGAAGTACCCACAGTTCATGTCATACCAAAGGAGTATTTCTGTTCAGCTCTCACATCACAGCATTCAAACATTACCAACATTACCAGTGAGAGGCCGTACCCCTGATGCTTAAATGTTAAAATAATCCAGCTTAAACCTACGGAAGCAGTTTCAAATGGAGGAAACACAAACTCTGTCCATTCATCCATCATGCAAGTAGGACAAGGCCTGCATGAAATAACATTTGTTAACAGATGCTGGAGGTTTTGTCTGATT